ATGTGACTGTGTGTCGTTCATGTGGCAGGCAGACAACGAATGTGGCACGTACACGAGCCAACGAGAAGACCTTGAGCTGCAACTAACTCAAGGCAACAGCAGGAAGATGAAGATGGGATGGCTCAACACAAAGACAGATGCAGCGGTAAGTCCACACAGACACACTGCTGGCAGGACCCGGTGCCTAGAGCTGTGCGCGTGACACGGCTTAAGTCGATGAAATTGTGTCTCATAATAAATTTACCTAAATGGAATGCAAGCTGAATAACTGCTATTTATTGGCTTAAAATAAAAATTAAAATAAAAAGTAAAAACGTATTTTCCAGCTTAAACTAGCTGAGCTGTCTGAAGTATGCCTCATGCCCAACGTGCGCTGCATTCAACTTGGCTATGCATTAGCTAGCAAGTTCCTTCAAGTGTTTTTAGGGTGCTTTTTAAATTTGTGCACATCTTCCGGCCAACTTGGCTGCAATTATGTCACACAAAATGTTTATCCTGTACATCCGGCTATAAAAAACAAGCTAAACACTTTATTTATTTGGTGCTGCTCGTCGTTAGTTTTCAAAGTTTTCGCATTAAAACGAAAGCAGAGTTTGCCAAACTATTGCAATGAAAATAGCACAGTCGACAACAAAAACAACAACGATATGAAGCAGCAGCCTGAAGAAGCAAACGAAAATTTAGAGATGCAATGCAAACACGAAGCGAGGGACACTGAGAGCAAGAAATTTCAGTTGAGAATGACGAAGCGAAAGATACACTGTTTCGATTAAGAATAATTGAGTAGATAAAAGAAAAATTAAAAGAAAATATTTACTAAATTAACTTCATATAGGTATAACATAATTCTCTAATATATTAATCCTTGACATAGACAAAAAATTTGGCTAATTCTGCTTAACATATTCCAAAGATATAGCTGGCATAGATATTGCTTAAATATAGTTATAAGCATGTTGCATGTAGATGAAGTTGAAGGTGATTTAAACTTAAAATTAAAATATTTTTAACAATATTGGGCATCAATTCTTTAATTTAATATTTAATAGTTAAGCTACTTTTGTAGTATGAAAATAGCAAAAGTAAAAAAAATACAGCAATATGAAAAGAAAGTTATAGGGACGCTATCTTGATGTTCAGCTATTGATAATAATGCTAAATAAATGTTAATCGAAAAAATACCTATTGTGCCAGTAAAAAATTGAAGCTTTTGCAGCTATTTGATAAAAAACAATAAAATAATTTTACATTTATCAAAGTTGCAAGCAATGCATCATTGACATCACTTATTAGTTTTACTATTTTTTTAGTGCGTTACATTTCGTATGACATTTTTATAATACACTCTCCAAAGACGTAGAAAATCAGAGAAGTAGGCAACAGTTGGCCGAGTGCCTAAGAAAATTAAATGCTGCCTTTGAAGTGTTTGGACTTGAGCAAAGTCTATTTTAAACACAATTTCGAGTGTGTGCTGATTGTGTGTATGCTGCCTGTGTGTGTACCTTGCCCAACAGCTGCCATAGACAGGCAGCGTCTGGACTCATTGCCAGCTGCTGTTCAATAGATTTTGACTCTAATCTTGAGCGAGCCTCGAGTGCGTGAAAATTGACTTTGGCCTTGACTAACTCAGGCAGAAGTGGATCAAAAGTCGGGCACACACACACACCCAGGCACAGAAGGACAAAAGGCGAAACTACATTCATTGGGTCAGCGGTGCCACATTTTTATTGGTCATTAGTGCGAGCCTCTATCGGGCATTCGTAAGCATTTACACATCGTTAAACTTTCATTTCCGGCAAATTAAGCGCATTCTATATGCCTTCTGCCCTGGCCCAAAACACACACACACAAACGCACACATGCACATACAGTCACATAGACACAGGGACGCAGGGGCGTAGCATTATTCACGCCATGCCCCGCCCCCGATTGGGGCTACCCGTTCAGCCCTTTGTCAGCAAAACCGTGACGGGGCAGTGCATGGCAAGGCTACACCAAATGACCACAACAAACACGGCCCGACGGCCATATATGGTATATAAATATATATGTATTTATATATATATATATAGACGATATTCCGGGCTATATTTAATGGACAGCAAACAAATAGCGGTACGCCCCGTAGGCGGCATTCGCACTTTTGTTTGCTTTTCAATCAAAAGTCAACAGCAGAAGCGAGCCATATAAAAGGCTGGCAAGGATTGTGGTATCGGTGTTGGCTCCAAGCTATTGTCCACATCATGTCCTTCTGGGCGGTTAGTCGCGGCTTAACGCCACAAGGCAAAGTGGCACCCATGCTGAATCCCAATCAGCGTCAATTTCTGGAGGACGAGCTGCGCTATCGGGAGAAGCTCAAGATGCTGGCAGGCGGCAATGCCATCGACGATGTTTACGTACGCAAGCCAGATACCGTGGACGACCCGCTCGAGCTGGACAAACACGATTCATTCTACAAGACGACCAAAAGCTTGCTAGTTCTGTTCCAGATCATGGGCGTAATGCCCATACATCGTAATCCGCCTGTCAGAAATATGCCTCGAACTGGATACTCGTGGCGATCCAAGCAGGTAATGTGGGCCGTTTTCATCTACAGCTGCCAGACGACAGTAGTGGTGCTGGTGCTGCGAGAGCGGGTCAAAAAGTTCATAACCAGCCCGGACAAACGCTTCGACGAGGCCATCTACAATGTCATCTTTATCAGTCTGCTCTTCACGAACTTTCTGCTGCCCGTCGCTAGCTGGCGCCATGGACACCAGGTGGCCATCTTCAAGAACATGTGGACGAACTATCAGTATAAGTTCTTCAAGACCACTGGCTCGCCAATCGTATTCCCGAACCTGTATCCGCTGACCTATGCACTGTGCGTCTTCTCCTGGCTGCTCAGCATCGCCATAAACCTGTCGCAGTATTTCCTGCAGCCGGACTTTCGATTATGGTATACCTTTGCCTATTATCCGATCATAGCGATGCTGAACTGTTTCTGCAGCCTGTGGTACATCAATTGCAATGCCTTTGGCACGGCCAGTCACGCCCTGTCGGATGCGCTGCAGGCCACAATAAAGGGCGAGAAGCCTGCCCAGAAGCTGACAGAGTATCGCCATCTCTGGGTGGATCTGAGCCACATGATGCAGCAGCTGGGACGCGCCTACTCGAACATGTATGGCATGTACTGTCTGGTAATCTTCTTTACCAGCATCATTGCCACTTATGGCAGCATTAGCGAGATTATCGATCATGGCGCCACATACAAGGAGGTGGGTCTCTTCGTCATCGTCTTTTACTGCATGTGCCTGCTGTACATCATCTGCAACGAGGCGCACTATGCCTCGCACAAAGTGGGCATGGAATTTCAGACCAAATTGCTCAACATTAATCTAACAGCCGTGGACACTGCCACACAGAAGGAGGTGGACATGCTGCTCGTCGCTATCAATAAGAACCCGCCCATCATGAATCTCGATGGCTATGCGAACATCAACCGCGAATTGATCACCACGAACATCTCCTTCATGGCCACCTATTTGGTGGTGTTGCTACAGTTCAAGATAACCGAACAGCGTCGATCACAAACAGCTTAAACTGAGCTGCCTTGAGCAATAATACTTAGGTGTAGAGTTATCGATATACCGATTATATTCAATTGTGGCATATACTTGAAAAAGTGCTTGGATTTTATTATATAAAACATATGCCCATAAATACCTATCAAAAATAATAAACTTGTTCTTAAAACCATTCATGAAGTGAACTGTTTTTCGATCTAGATTTTTCGATATCAGCAGTCCATAGATTTATTGGAATCACAGCTTTATAATACTCCCATAGCGAATGGACAATCCGGCTTTAAAATTTGTTATAATAAACATATTTCGTTTATTATAATATAATAATAAAGCTAACGTCAAGTTCCTAGGCTCTATCTATGTTTGCTCTAGATTGATTTTGTAGTTTGTCAAAAGTATTCAGAGTATATAAAAATTTTCAGCTAAACTTGTTTTTGGTTTATATGTATCTGTGTTCTAGCTGCAATGTGTCACAGACATCCACCAGACTACAGTGGCAATACATACATGGGCATCCACTTGAGCATTGAGAAATTGGAGGCAGTGATACTGAACACCAAGTTTGAGGTAGAGAACACTGTGACGGTGCGCTATGATGTTGATCTGCCCGAATACCACACCGAAAATGGTGTCACCCCGGGCACGGAACCTGGTCACTTTGAGGTGAATCCCGTGATGTATATAAAGGCATTGAACATTTTGTTCAATTGCCTAGTATCACAGGGCGCTGATTTGTATAGGGTTGCAGCCATTGGTGGTGCGACGCATCATCATGGCGCCATATATTGGTCCGAGAGCGGCTTTCGTGCGCTCTGTGGCCTTTCAGCTTTTGCGAACCTACACGAACAGTTGACGGAAAAGTGTTTCACAGTGCCCACGTTTTATTGTCTGACTAAATCTAGTGACAAGCACTGTAAAGAGATGGAACATGGAATTGGTAGCTCAATAGAAATGAAAAAAGTCACTGGATCTCGCGCATTTGTTTGCATGACTGGTCCTGAGATACGTAAGGTCTATGAGACCTATCCCTGCCAATATAATGAAACAGTACGCATTTCGCTAATAAGCAGCTTTTTGGCATCGCTGCTGATTGGCAACATTGCATCCATTGACCACTCTGACGGCTCGCTAATGAATCTAATGGGCATAAATGACAAGAAGTGGTCTGAGCTGTGCCTGGACGCCTGTGCACCACATTTAGAATCACGTCTAATGCAACCGATTGCCACGAATCGACTGCAGGGGCGCATTAGCAATTGTCATGTGATGCGCTGGAAATTTAAGCCAGACTGCATGATAGTTGCTGCCACCAACAGTAATTCCAGCTTATTGGCCAGCATTAAGGAGCCAAATTTTCTTATTTTATCACTCTCCAAACACGACATGATCATACTGCCAGTAAATGACGGCGCTGCCTCAAAAGAGGGACAAACCATGTGTCATCCAACCGTGCCGAACGCCTACATGACTTGCTACCATTTTTCCAACGGGGGCTTAGTGCGAGAGCGAATCTGCCGGGAAGTGGCCAACGACGACTGGAAACTCTTTAATCAAATGTTGATTAACACGCCCAAAGGTAACGATGGCAACATCGCCGTACATTTTGATGAAATGGAATACATACCCAAAGCCAAAGGCTCGCTGCGATGGAATGACAACATCACAGAACAAACAGTAGATGCATTGCACGGACTAAAGAAATTCGATGAGCCGCGCTATGAGGCCCGGGCCGTCATCGAGGGTCAGTTGATGCATCATGTTGCCATTATCAACAATGCCGGATTCCGCGTAACGCCCAATACCAAAATTATTGTCACAGGCGAATGCTCTAACAATGCCACCATACTGCAAATTGTAGCCGACGTCTTCAATGGGTGCGTCTATAGGCATGAAGCACCGGCGGATCCGTGCCTCATAGGTGCCGCCTATCGGGCCCGCTATGCCTTCTATGAGTACCGCGAGGTCGATTGCAATTGCGTCAGATGCAAAACACGCCGTGGCAGGCAGCCGCAACTCAGCTACACTGAGTTCATTCAGCAAACCCCAAATTATCTGAAGTTGGTCGCCGAACCAACTGCTAACTGTGAGAAAATCTACGTTCCGCTAATGCTGCGTTGCACCATAATGCAACAGCAGCTGGCAGACATGAACTCTTTCAACGACACCCATACATATGGTACATTGCGGCCCCTTTGAATATGTCTTAAGTGTTTTATAGCTAGTTGTTGAAAATAAGTTCAAAACTCAAGTAAACTAGTTTAACAAACAAAAACATGAGTACTCTGGTCGAACGCGTCCGACCACGAAATACCCTGTACCTGTACCCAACGACGCAGCACAGTAGCTTCTAAATTCCCTTCTACAGAGAGTGGCGGGCATGCAGCTCACCTTTCTAAGCGGAAAGACATTTGTCTAAAATGAATTGCGATTTCATCTGCTACTTGGTCTTGGGTTTAGTCTGTACAGGGTATAGACTTAGAAAATATAAGGCTAAAAGTCGACATCCCAGCCAGAAAGCTCATCCGGTGGCTCACTGGGATCACAGGGAAACCGATCAAAGTAACGCACGTCCGTGGGATGAGCAATAGGTCGCACAAAGGGCGGTATCAGCAGCTGACTGGACAAGCCATCCCAGTCGAAGCCGAGAAACCATCTGGAAAGAACAACAAATTTGTAGCTCAACTAGTTTCTCACACTGTCCTTACTATATCCACTCACTTGTGCTTTTTGATATCCTGTATGCCTCCAGTTTGATAGCCCAAACGTTCGGAGGGCACATCCCGGCAGAGACGCTTAATCAGGTGCACAGCCCAGCGGGAAATGTGTTTGGGAAATGTGATCATGTCGATGCCTCTTAGGATCAGGTTATAAGTCTGCATGGGATCGGGAGCGGTGAAGGGTGGTCTGTGAGGTTAAAAAGTAAACTTTAGTAGAAGTTAAAGATTTGATTTTCTACTGCAGACTTACGCGCCATTGAGCAGCTCGTGTATGAGTATGCCCAGAGCCCAATAGTCCACGGCGCGATCGTGGCCCTTGTTGAGAATAATTTCTGGGGCAACATACTCCGGCGTGCCGCAAAACGTCCACGTTTTGGCGCTGTTCCCAATATACTTGGCAAACCCAAAATCCACCAGCTTCACATAGCCGCGCTCATCCAACATGAGATTCTCCGGCTTGAGGTCCCGGTAGAGTATGCCACGCGCATGCAAATACTCGAAGGCCTGCAGGACACAGCCAATGATAAACTGTGCTGCATTGTCGTCAAAGGAGCCACGATCGCGCAGCATTGTCCAGATCTCGCCGCCCATGCACGCCTCTAGCAGCATATACACGTACTTGTCGTCGCGGAATGTTCGATAGAGACGGCAGATGAAGGGAGAATTGGAGCTGAGCATAATGCTGCGCTCGCTATAGATGTGATCCTCCTGCTTGGTGTCCACAATGTGTCGCTTCTTCAGGCACTTCAGCGCAAAGATGTCCTCTCGACCTTGATGATACGCCTTTACCAACTCGACTCGGCCAAAGCCCCCAATGCCAAGTGTGCTGACCACCTCAAGATCGGTTAACTGCAAATCCGGATACTCCTGTTGCGCCTGCGCACCGAACGACTCCTCGTTGTGGGCCTGAGCCTGCTTCATGGCCAGCATGCGATCCTCATCGCCATAATCCTTCTCCTTTAGCTCGCAAAGATCGCCGATGAGGCGCTTAAACGAATCCCGATCGAGGCTGAGGCATTCCACGCCCGGCGCCAGCGCAATGATATTGGCAGTGCGCTTATCCTCATTGATGAGCGCCTGTTCGCCAAAGTAATCGCCACGACCCAAAGTGCGCAGCTCCGTCTCCTCCAGCGCTGCTGGCGTCAGCTTTTGCGTAACCCTCACATTGCCCTGCGAGATGAGAAAAAAGCTATCGCCCGCTGTGCCCTGTCGTATGATATACGTGCCCGCCGCATAGAATTCCAATTCCAGCACATCCGCAATCTTGGCCAGCAGCTGTTCGCTGAGATTGCGCAATAGCGGCACCGACTTCAAGAAATTCACGCTATTCTCGATGCGCTGCAGCCCGGTGCGCATCATAATCTGCTGAAAAATGCGACGATCCAGCACCCAGACCCGCGCCTCATCACTGATGACTCGTATGGAGGCGGTGCGTGTGCAGTTGTAGAGTATGGCCAGTTCACCAAATGCTTTGCCCGGCCCCATCTTGTCCAGCACCTTGCCCTGCTGCATGACAGCGAATTCGCCCGCAGCCGAGACATACAAATGGGCGCCGGCGTCGCCTTCTCTGATGACAAACTCACCCGACTCTATGCTCTTGGAGTACATGGAGTCCACCAGTTCGCGCACCTGCGAGGCATCGATGTTCTTCAGGAAATCGTTGTCCATGATGGCATCCTTGATCTGCTGCTTGGCGCTGAAGTGGTACAATAGTTGTAGCTGACAGATCGCGTGTAGCGTGGCAGCAGTCTCTCACCTGAAGTCTTTGTCGTATTTGGGTATGGTTGCATTGTAGGACTGTTGCTTGGACTGAACAGAACTCTCCGCGGAGACGCCCTGCTTTTTGATGGCCGCCAGCAGCGGTTTTGGACGCACTTCATCCGATGTTGCCACATCTGCTTTTAATGTATTGTCCACTGTTGTTGCAGTGTCGGTTACTGTTTCAGTTGCTGCAGCTGTTTCTGCTGTTTCTGCTGTTGCTGCTGCTGCTGCTGCTGCTGCTGCTGCTGCTGCTGCTGCTGCTGCTGCTGCTGCTGCTGCTGCTGCTGCTGGTGCTGGTGCTACTTTTGTGTTCTGCATTTCATTGCCATTGCTGGCTGGCATAACCAGACCGCAGGCGCTGCACACATGCTCATGTTCTCGACTGCTGCTCACCTCGCCGCACTGCTCCGGCGGCTGTTGGCTGTTGGACAAGCTCACATGGCTGCTGGTGGTTTGCTGCAGCACGCTCTGCAACGAGCAGCAATGGAATGACAATTGAAAGGCGTCGATTAATCAATTCGCCAGCCAATTGAGTTTCCAATTAGCGGCACATGTGATGCAGCTGAAACTCAATTTAAATGGACAGCCAATGACCCCCATTTCGTCGCCTCTCCTGCACACACACTCTCAATAAATATCGGAAGGGGACCTTCGCCCAAAGTGGGCCATTCGTCATTATACCCATCAGCTTATCTCGCACGGCGCGTAAATAGCATGCATAAACTGACCCCAAAAAAAGCAAGGCGTTAAGATAGCACTGCCAAAATCTGAGCACAGCTCATACGTATATATGTATATAATGCCAAAATAGTAGATAAGCCAAAAGTCGCAACTCCCAGCGGCAATCAGTTCCTGCCCTCCACACATTCTACAGACTATTTACATAAAAATTAGCAATTCAAAAATTGTCTGCGCACTCTACTTGTATGCGCTGTAACGCACTAGATATAAGGGGTATATTGGCTAAGAGTCTTCATATATAAGAAATATGTATGCCCTATTCATAAGGTATGGAAGTGTATATTGGTTTTATAGACTGTTTGGTTGACTAAATGTTTGTTTTATGTAAGAATTCCAGACCAGAATATATTTTCATCAAAAACGTTTTAGGCAAAGTATCTCAAATTAGTTAGCTTTTGAACTTTGTTTACAAAATATATATTAGAAGGCTTAGAAGTGTTTAAAGCATCAACGGCTAAACAAACACTTTCAATATTGTCTTTTAGGCAATTAGTTTCCAACTTGTAGGGTATCTTCTAGTCAATTACGTTTTTTCAATGCATTTGAACTATTTTTTTATTATTATTTATTATTTTTTATTTTGTGGCATTTGCTTTGTTCTCTTCTAAATGCGCGCGTGCTGGCGCCCGTTGAATTTATGGAATATGCCATGGTGTTTATTTACACCAAACACAGGCACAGACCGCTTACAGCTCGTAGATGTTAGCGGGCTCAACTGGCAGAGGGGAGGTAAACGCACGACGTCCAGCTAGAGCAGCATTCGCAACCGCAGACAAAGCTAATGCCGTTGCTGATCCGGCAATTAGCAACGCACAGCAGCAAATCCCAGTGTATCTGTATCTTCATTGCCAGCTTTGTGTTTGTATCTAAAACTGTATCTGTATCTGTATCTGAGCGTGGACTCTCTGACAACTTTTGCTCTTTACGCTGCGACTCTGTGAAAATCTCACGAAGAAGTGCTAAACGCTTAGCTCAATAAAAATGCTTTACAATTTAAATACACACGCATACGCACACTCAAACATAGGCCTCAGCTACGATGAGCAATGCCAAATGCTGTTCAAGTACGAAATTAACAAGAAACAACCGGCGTATGCGTAATGCCGAACCCGAAATACTCTTTTCGAAGAGGTATGTTAACAACATGTTGTTCAAATATTTAAAGAGTCATTAAAGAGCGATTCTATTAATAGTATATTGTAGTTTTTTTATGATTTTGTAGCCTGAATGAATGTTTATCTGTGAATTGAAGATTATTCATATTCACAGTTTTCGCACTATGAGGCAGACGGCTCTTCATGGCCATAGCTACTGGGCTGCTAATACCAATTAAGCATAATTATATATTCAACAATGTCTGCTGCAAGTCTTCACATGTTTTCCCACAAAATTCTACTCCCTGTTGTCAGCAGCTTGCGAGCACAACTGAATGCCAGCCGCAAAACCGCTAGACCAGATATCACCGGACTGTCTGAAGGGCGTAGGACTGGCGGTATCTACATATAAAATCTAATATTGTCTGTTGTCTATTAGATAGTCGCTGATATCTAGTGCTTAGCTGGGGCTGCTGCTGTGCTTGAGATAGCGACATGCGACGCAATTGATACGAGTGTGCGAGCGTATTTCAGATACTTCTCTGTATCTGTGCGAAAACAAATTAGTTGAAAATATAAAATAAAAATAGAAGAAGAAAAGGCACAAAGCGTTGGCCAATTGTTGCTGCTGGTGTTATTGTGCCGTTATCTGCGGCGCGACAACAATAAACAAAACAAAACAAACAACAAACAAAACAAACAAACGATGCACAATGACAAGGGACATCTGCCCCTTCGGCTCGCTGGCATTTACCCTGATGACCTAGGCTGAAGAGAGCTTCTAGTTGCCTCCTATTATTATTATGTCTATTGTCTAGTATTTTTCGCTTGCTTATTGCTGGCTGCAATTTTGTGACCCTTTCATGGAATTGATTATTTTTCCTGATGTTAGAAACTGAAAGAAAACTGCAGTCGAAAATTCTGATTTTATGTCTAGATATTGGGTGGCTTATATTAGTTGCCTTAGTTGAAATTTGTTTTCATATTCATGATTTTTTGTGACTCGCTTTTAATAGCCCTTCAATCCAGATGTTTCAATTATTTGTGGCTATATTTTTAGGCAATTTTCTGCCAGAAAACATTTAGAAATCATCATAATTATTTTTTATAAAATATTTAACTACAATTTTTGATCTCTCTCTCCCACTCCCTCTCTCTCTCCCTCTCTATCTCTACTCTATTTAGTCCACCCTTTCTCACCTTCAGCTTGTGTATTTCACGATGCAATTTGACCAGTTCACAGTCGCGTTCTCGCAGCTGCTCCTTGAGTATGTGCAGCTCATTGTTTAAACTATTAACGATCGAATCTCGTTCCCCATCATCCATTATCTCAGCCATGTCAACTGCTCTCCGTCCAATCGCTCAGTATCGAATGCCAATCAATTGCTAATTGTCCCATTCAGGCAGACATGCACGAGTGTAGTTAGCTACCCGCTTTGATTCGCTTTCGCACGCGTTCCGTTGACGACTGCCGGCTGCTGACTTCCGAGTTTATAAGCCGATCGACGCGGCGTATGTGTGATTTTCAAAGAGAGTGAACAAGAGAGCAAGAGAGAGAGAGAGCGCGCACACAAAAGAGAACGTTCGCAAAAGTGTGATACGAAGAGATCAGAGACAACGTTATCAGTTAAAGCTAGTTACAAACAGATAACTAAAGGGGTTGGGCGCATTAAATTTGCATAATAATAAAATGATAACGACGACAATTATGCGCGTGATCGACTAGAAAATGCCCTGTAATTGGAATTAAAGCTATAAAAGTGAAATGACTGAAAGGTTTAAACGAAGAAATTGTCTAATAAGACTATAGGCGATATGTTCGATATACTATTGACTATTGTGATAGACTATGAGTAACCCTTTATCCAAGAATAAAATAGTGTAGTGTAGTGTATGAGTGTAAAAAGAATTTGATCAATGTTAAAATGAATTTTAAGCCAAATTAAGTAGCTCAAAAGATAATTATTTAAAATATCAATGTAATATGTTTTAATAACATTAAGCTCACACATTTTTACACAGACTTTTAAAGCCAGCAGGGTATTACAACAACAACAACAACAACAGCAACAGCAACAGCAACAGCGACCGCGTCATAAGCAAATGCAGAAGCCAGCAGTAGATGCTTTTGTGCTTTGGCATTAAAACAAAACTGCGAGACAAAAGCTGAGCGTAATTTGATGATGACAGCTACGCTGGTTAATGGTGAGGGATGGGTTGGTCTGGCTTGGTGAAGGGGCTGTAGCGCAAGGGCGGTACGCGGGCACAAAGCGTAAAAATGCGAAATGAAAATGAAAATGGCAGCGCAGATGTGAAAATGAAAGCTAAACGAGGCGCGGGCCAGCAAACAGCCAGAAATAAAATTGCTTTACAGCCATAATAGAATTATAGTGCCCACTATGAAGCGGCGACAGAGACGGACCGCAACACGGTCGCCGACGACACAACACCAGCAACAGTGGCAGCAGCATAAGGAGTCGAAAAAACGGAAGAAGTGCGGGGAAGGCTCTGCTAAAAGCAAGTGAAATAAAACGCCAGCATGCCAAACGGCGAGGCAAGGACACACTGATTTGCTGGCGGCAATGGCAGCAACCGGAGCAACGCTTCATCCGCTTCGCGGTGGCCCACATTTAATGTGCTCATATCTGCGGGCTGAACGGGGTGACGGCGATGGAACGGGTAACAGAAACAGACAGTGATATATGTGGGCTGTGAGTGCGTGCTAGCCAGCAAAATGCTATTGCGATTTGTGGAACGTGACAGCATGGAAAAATCTTTAGGCGCCGTAAGGCAGGCAAAGGATTAGCCAACGACACACACGGCGTATGCGTAATGATGCTGCAAATGATCTATTACAAAGTGAGATAGACAGGCGAAGGAGTACGAAAGAGAGAGAGAGAGATAACGATATAGGATAGTATTTCGTAATTTAATGGGGAGACTCGACTCGACTCGAGTCGAAAAACTTTGACACTTGAGCGCCAAAAGCTGCGATAATTATCTGAAGCAAAACTGTAACGACTGGGCCAGAGCCTCATCTGTGCAGTGGCATAGTAGTTGGGGAACAGGGAACTAATTGCCCCTGGGACATGTCGCATTACTTTAAACGTCAATCTGCAAGGCGACTAATTAATGAACGCTAATTTGAACTATGCCCCGAGCCGAGGTAATAACAGTTTACTGAGCTTGACGCTATCATAAAACGTCTGTGGCACATTAAGTGCAGGATGCTATAATGCACGGATTACGTAGCAAAATCACAGCGGCACAAATAGATAGATAACCAACAGACTTGGCTATACTTGGAAATACTTCAATGACAGCAGTTTGCACCAGGTCTAGCTGCAATTGTGCAAAGTAGGAGTTGATTCATATATATGATGCTTAGCGCTAATGCTTATAGCAGGTAATTTTATAGTACTTAGTTGTATCTTAATTCTTTTAAACTCAAGAGTGAGCTGCGTGCATAAATAGAGTCTCACTCAGAAGAGTCTCATCTAATGTAATTAGACGCGCCCAGCTAATCATGAATAATGAAAATAAAATGAATGTGCAGCAGGCAGTTCCCTTTTGGACTCACATGCAATTCGAGAATTTCGATGTTTATAGCAAAGAATTTCACACGAGTTGCAAATTATTTTCTATTAGAAACAAAGCTGCCATTAAGCACTTAATCACATATTACCATTGACTACTCATGGCTAATCATTTGATATACTGAGTCATTATTATAAGCATTGGCTAATAGAACTTTCGTGGTTGACTTATTCTTGCAGTGAAATTGTCTTCAATTTAAGGCCACAGCAATTTCAGTGCGAAAACTTAACGTTTTCATAACTAAACACAAGCCCGAGGCACTGGGTCAAGCGAAAATTACATACATGATATAAAAGCACTCAGGTGTATACACATATTGGTAAATTTATGCTGTCACATTGTAAATGATTGATGAACATAGTTACATAGTTTTAATATGCATTTTATCATCATTTGCTCCGGCCGTGCTGTGCTCCATTTCGATACAGAAACAAATAATCAGAAGTATAATAAGGTTACCTTTGCCCTCTCTGGATGTCAATGCTAACAGACTGGCTTGTAAACTCGCCACTTGTGCGCTATGTTATTAGCTTGGGATTCTCTGTGACATAACTAAGCAACACAAAGCTTCAATTACAAGAACAAATCCTGGTCAAGGCAATCAGTGTAACGGGCTAACAGCATTTGTTCGCCAATATTTACATAATAGAACTTGCATGTCTGTTACTAGCTGAGGCACAAGCCCCCAACCCCCTTGGACCACAACCCATGACCATAGTCATAGTCGCATTTATCTCCATACCAATTTGCGCTTTGCATTCCTTCCAGCGCTGTCACTGACATATGCCAGAAATGTCATTCAGTGGTGGGAGACGAATCAGGGCACTCAGCGGAAGATAAGTGTGATAAGTGCTACACACAGAAAGAGACACAGAGCGAAAACAGTGGCAAAGGCAACAGAGAAACAAGTAAAAAATGCTATTGCTAAAGCTGACCGGGAATTAGATACCCTATATGCATAAATACACATGTGACAGCTTATCACAATTTAAAGTACTCAATCGATAACATATCGATCGTAACAATTTTTAGAAACTCTTAGATTCTGCCCTCTAAAATGTATACTTTTATGACTCTATATAATATGTATTCACACATACTCCATACGTTATCCACTCATTTCGCTAGATGTGCATAAAAGCCAAAGAGTTAAATCGATATATATCGAATTTGGAAAACAAGAGCATTTGAGCTATCTTTCGTCAAGTCTCTAAGATCCAAGCGTTGCCATCACACTAACACAACACTTTACCCACGCTTTGATACATTTTCAATAAAGTACAGGGTATTGCCATGCCCCAAAGGAATGCGAGTACATGCATAAAAGGTGGCAAATCAAGCATCAAACTATGGTTATGAGTTGATAAGTATATTTTTGCCATCGTACTGTCATATGGATATATGTTAAGCAGAGCTTAAGCAGGCTTTGATACATTCCAATGTCAGCACACACAGTTCCTATTTACTACCTATCAGTAGGACAGCAAGTAGACGTTTTATATTTTATAAAAGTATATAATAACATATTACACAATATTATTTGCATTTAGAGGGAGGGTAATCATAAAAGAGGGCCCGACACAGGGGTTCCGCAGCATACAGTCGACGGAATCCCCAAGAACCCTTTAAAGAGGTGAGCAATAAGTTCTGAAACAGCATCGCAAAATCCATAAGCCTGTCAAGCTAAGGTGTTAACTCAAGGTCTTGCAAGAGAAAAGGAAAGGAAGCTGGACAGGGAATACGACATAGCGGAAGGTAAAGGTAAGCTGCTGAACAGGTGAACACAAATCCATCTTACCGTAACATGACATTGGTATAATTATTCAATTAAAATCGCGACGCACTCAAATCCAGTGGCACAAAGTCCTTACGCATTGTGTGCACACAGGTGAGACATGGGAAAAAGTGCCCACCTGGGATTAATTCCAGACAGGCTGCCGCTGCCTGCCGGCCAATAGCCGACCTCCAATCCGCTCTCAGTCCCCGCACATACATATGCACACGCACACACACACCTGCACTCACCTGCCCCCACCTGCCATGCCGCGTAAAACTCATTCATTTTCGGCCTTTTGTTGTTTTATACTCGGCACTCGTATCTCTTTTATTGCCTCCTGTCGTGCCCTTTGTCATACGCTTTCCTCGAATCGAGCAGACGAAACTTTTCGCTCCACGAAAAAGTTAAGGCAATCAAGATATGGCTATAAGTGTATTTGCACAAGTAAAGAATACGTATGAGTTCGCGCTCGCATTTTACGACTTTCCATAGACAGTTTAAGCAGATTTATAGGAATGAACCAATTGAAATACAATATAGTGAAACTGCATATATGAACTCGAAGTTGTAGTTCATTAGAGCACGTTGCTTTACTGTGCCGAAGTATTGATTTACGATGCAAGTGCAGAGCGGATGGATAGACATAAATCTCAGCTTCTCTTTTGCACTATATATTGAATTGATTTTCATTATACAACATAACTGAATTAGTCAAGTAGAATTAGTAGAAGACTAAAACTCATCGCAAATTAAGCCATGAGTACGTCAATTATCAGTAGATATATGAGTAGATTCTCTTGAGAAAGAGTTCCTTTTTCCATCCCTAGTCTCTAATATACTAATTCACTTGTCATCTCCCTCATGAGTTTACGTTTAATATATTTTATAAACTTAGTTTTCACAAATATCAATTGCTATAAAGCTGTGATTATGCAGATTAAACTTAGCCAGAGTTAAGCTCACATAATCTATAAAAATTCAGCTCGATTGCAATTAAAACTGAGCTGCTAAAGGAGACTACGCCCACAGCTCTATTCTCCATTCCAACCTTTTCCATATTCCGTATTCATATTCAATCAATTTTTGTAATAGTATGCAACAGTTCAAATTAATAAATCTATAAAAATAAAATAATAGCTACGAGCAAATATTGTGTTATGTCAGTTGTTCGTAAATTCAGCTTGATATATATTTGACATTTATTATTTATACATGCAGTCAATTCAATGAGCATGTCTAGAGGGTATTACATATTCGGCCAATCTAAACAAATAAGTAAAACAAAATATAGCCGCTGTTTTTTTGCTTTGTTGCGATTCTCTTTTTGTGTTTGACCGCTACGCTTTGTGTTTTTGTGCGTTGCAAGATAAATAGTAACATGTTTGCTTTGGCTGTTCAGGAGGCTCTGGCTTGCCCCATTCAGGGCCCAAGCCCAAACTGCTATCTCAATGGCCGTAAACCCAACTGGTGGTATCAGCGGCACACGCATCATGGCCTGGCCAGTTGAATAATTCAATGGACGGTGCCTGAATGGATTCGGCGTCGACGTCGGCGGCGGCTAATTTTCGTGATTTCATTTACATGAACTGTTATTATGTGATTGCTTTAACTAATACTCTGTTCTCTGTTCATTAGAATCGGACCTAGAGCGTTTTAGATGCACGTGGAAGTATTTTATACACTTTCTAAGAGATTTTTACTTATTCGTTTACCATGGAGAAAAAGTTAAGGTAAGTTGCTAGCTTTTCACACTTTCACATTTCATATTCCTTGTGGCCCGCAGCATTCAAAGGCCAAAGCAGAAAGACCTCGCTCTTTTCTATTCGCTCTCCCATCCCCCTTCTTGCCCACACGCTCTTTCTCTTTACCCAAAAATTTTCCATTGCAAATAAATTTAGATTTTTGCCTTCTATGACGGTCGTGGACTGACTGCTGCTTTCTGGACGAGATGTGCTGCTGGCTGTGCGTGTTTTTGAAGTTTTGCAAATTGCCAAACACACACACTTATATACATATATATATATGTATATATGTGCATGCATATATATGTGCGGACAATGATAGATTAGTAGTATATGTGTGTGAGAGCGTACCATCAGCTTTCGCCCTCTGTCTTTTTCTGGCAGTCGCAGTCGGAAAACTTCAATTGGCAGTTCCAACAAATTTCTTGCAACAAAATTAAACTGTAATTGAAAAAGTCAATTAAAAAGTTTCGCATTTTGCCGCTCAATGAGCACCAGCAGGACAGACAGAGATGCTGATAGTTAATGGGTAAGAGAGAGTGAAGCTGGGACATTTCCACAACTCAGTTTTTACACTTTCTTTTTTTTTTGTGCTTTGCCCTTTTGGGCAGCGATTTTTGTTGGCAAATTACCAATTAGCGTTAAGTTTTCATGGTCATTAAATTGAACCGGGCTGAAACATTTATGAATTAATTTCATGACAAACCGTTTACTAGCCAAGTTTTTGCAGGAGTTTTAGTGGAAGCTGGAAGCGGCTTCATTTACCTTTTGAGTAAAGATTTATCATTTAATATTTTATAATTATATATATATATATATATATTATACAATATATGATACATTTTTATAGCATATTTCTTACTCTGCTCTTCACTCAGCTTGCATGACTATGAAATATTCTACAGAAGTGCCCTGTTGGGAAGGCAACAAGTACATCAAACCGTGCCAAAGACTGTGGATAGATTGAGCACGTTCCAACACATATGTCGCGTGTGCGGCTGCAGCGACGACGGACACTTCGTGGAGTTGGACAAATATCAAGAGTTTGAGTTTGAGCCGACAATAAGCAACTATCGACTGCTCTTTCAGCGCGCCTCGTTGCAGTTTGTAAGTGACCAAATTAGTATTATAAATAAGATATTGTATCTACATGCTTTGTACCTATGTTTAGCAATTCAATACCATGCCCGATCTGCCAGGACGTATTTGCGGCACATGCGCCTACAAAGGGAAAATCTTTTTCCTACTCACCCGCCAGTTTCTGATCGGTCAGCAGATAATGCGCACGGCTGTCACCGATTTTTACCGGGATAACTATGGCATTGAGCCGCCCGAGCAGCTGGAAGATCTATTGCAGTTACGCAAGCAATTAGAGCTCGTCAACAAAGGCAAACCAAAGTCGGGGAGGGTAGCACCCGACCGCAATAAGAGCCCAATCAAGGAATGTGTTAACAACAAACGTAAAAATAAATTTAAACGGTTGACTGCAGGTGATAATCACTTTAGTTCAGACGCTGTAAACTCGACTGTGTCGGCCAATTGCATGACCGGCAATCTCTCGAAAAATCGTAAAAACCTAAATGACCGTCAGGTGTCGCAGTCAATTATCAACCTACATCAGCCTGACAAAAGTCCAGCTCATGTCCAGAAACCCAGCCAAAAGTCAGGATCGAATGGGCCACGTGCTCCTGTTTTACGCAAGGATAGAACTGAGACCAAGTCAGCCATGGACAAAACGGATATCGTGGAATGTCACATAACGCCGCGCTTGCTAAAGAAAAACATTCGAACCGCCGAACTGCTGCCCGTCAAACCTCTGATCGATTACCAAGCTCAACTTAGTGAAGCCGACGGCTTGCCAAATAATTTAAATGTGCCGCTATCCAAGGCTCAATTGCAGAAGAAACTATTGGAGCGGCGCAAGCAATGGCGCTAGCTAGACTCCATGGCCTTTTTTTATAGATTTTTAAGTTAATTTATTTGTATTTAATTGACTATAATTTATGGCATTTAATGGGTATATTATTCGGCTTGCATTTCGACACAAACCTCATTGAAATTAATCCATTTATGAAATTTATGTAACTTCCACACTCATTCCGGAAGGTATTGTCATGTCATAAAAAAAGAAACAAAAAATAAATAAGCCCCATATAAAGCACATTCAGACTCTTTTTATATAAATCTTACAATCTTTGGAATGAAATCGATTTTTATGAAAGCGTGCTTCAATCTAACAAATATGAACTCCATATTTCAATCAATTCTTGCATATTTCCTATCAACACATTGCTTGCCGAACCCATCGATTAATACTGTCAGCTTGAGCATCTTACAAGAGTATTCGACTGAAGAATACCCTGTTAAATGAAGACACCGTAGTCTTGTGTCTTAAGGCATATGGAAAAGTAACTCCTTTTGTGTACCATATGTATGATTCTCTTTGTATCAAAAATATGCAAAATATCCCATTTTTTCAATATCTGAAGGGTATGGACTAAGCTTCGACTTTTGCAAACTTGCTGCAATAACTACTAACAAGAAGTTTCTTTGGCAGACGGAAGTACAAACTAAGATGGATTTGTTGGCTGACTACTGGCCCTGCTACGCACCCAGCCACCCTTGGCTGGCTCTGCCCCCCTTGCTGCCTTCATTCTAGCCATGGGGCGGTATTTAAAAATGCAACAAGCGAACGCGACTCAATGGGAAGGTTTTTTGTATTTTTCGGCATGTGCTTTGAAATCAGAGCACAAAATCGATATACAAAAAAAAAGGAAAGAGAAAAAGCGAAACAGCATATGAGAAAAAAGGCATTGCGAATATTCACAGCACGCTGTGGGTCAGTGAGTGTTGGCATTTTGCAGTATGAGGTGCTGTGTACAGAGGAACGGTGGTTGGTGGGGATCGGAAGGGCGTAGGTCATGACGGCTGTATAACGCCAGCCAAAAATGCCAAACAAATTGATTGGAATCGAAAACGAAACGTAAACGAAAACGATTCATATGATTGACTGGCTGACTGATGGACGACGGCCATCCTATGATGCAGGAGGCGACGAGCCTGAGCAGCATGAGCCATGAGCCAGCCATATGAAGCTCACACAAATGGAACGGGATGCCAACTGATTTTTGGCATTGATTGCATGCTTTTAAGCACAGCAAGCCCATCGGTTCGTACCTGCTGTACTCAACATAACCACGAATTCAGGTTAAAACGCAAAAGTCCACACAAAATTTTGCACTGCATTTAATTTGATTACATTGGAAAAGTCAAAACTGAGTGAAGAAAAAAAAATAGAAAACAAATTATGAGAATAATACTTGACTCTAGAAAATATCCTGTTTTGAGGCAAATTAATCAAGATTAGATTTTTACTAAAAATAGATAAATATGGGTAAAAATTAAATTTTAATAAATTTTTGAAGTGCATGTCATAGATTACATAAGAACTTAGATATCGATTCTTATCGATTAATATAGCAAATATATATTTTTATCAATGTTAGATATGCCTAACAATTTACTAAGCACTATAAACTGCATAAAATTTAAATTTCACCAATAAATAAATGACCATCGATAATTATCGATTTGTTAAAAATAATCATATTTTTTAAATAAATAATTTTTATAAGTTGTAAGATACATTATAAAATTTATTAGCTATTTCTTCTTGGCAACTTGATGATACCCTTTTCGGACAGCTTTTTTATGCTTTTACAGGGTATATAACATGAACATGAAATAGTATTCATTTTGATGAATGCAATTACGCAACGAGCTATATGTCAAATTTGCTGAGCGCTATTGTTGTTGTTTTTTGTGTGTGTTGGTTTTGTAGTTGTTGCTGTCACTGGCATTCAGAGATGCAAAAATTGTTGCATTATTTGCTGGCCATTGCCCGAGGCTAAAAACTGCCCGCGGTGAATGCGTTGCCATTCACATCAAGAATTGAATTGAATCGAAACGAATTGAATTGAATACCATTCAAAATGTGACTCTCATCCAAGCACAATACACCACACATACACACACACACACACACACACGCACACACAATGCTCAACTCTCAAACGAATCGAACAAACTCGACGTGTTTATTCACTGCATTTCCTGTTGATATTCAACAAATGCCATCGTCGCATTCACAGAGCACAGCAGTCAAACGTTTCCACCTAGCGACTAGCCGCCACCGCCACTGCCACTGCCAACACCATTGCCTGCAAGCTCTTCCCTACCCTTTGCAGCGTTTCCACCGCCATACTAACTGCATCCCGTTGGCGCTTCCCATAAAGGAAACGGGAAGCGCATTTGCAGCAGCCGCCGGCATTGCCCAGAAGTTCTTCATTGATTTTTGTCACTTATTGTTTGCAGCGCGCAGATGTCCTCGTTACCAGCTACCACTGTGGCCCCAAGCCAACCCCTATACTGCGCCCCTATGCCAAAAAAGAAAAATTTGAGCTTTAATCGTTTCTGGTTCGCTGTCTCAAGTTTTCAACCATTTAGACGCCGCGCCACAGCGCTGAGCTGTTGCCAACCCTATCTACCTTCTGCTTTGTTGCTTACATTTCACAGTGGCAAGCTCCCAAAGCCCCCACCCACACACACCTTTCGTGCATATTTATAGCCTGTACTTGAAGTTGACAGCAATTGCAGGGCAGAGTATTTTCAAGTTTATAAGTAGCGTTGCCGTTCAGTAATTTGCTGAACTTCAATTATACTTATAAACATAAACAGCTTAGGTTGTCATTAACAATTAATTATTATTATTAATACACGAACTTTTAAGAAAATTTAATATTTTGTTGACAAAAAAATACTAAAAATATTAACAGATTTATACAAGGACAGGCTAAGGCGAGAGCTAGAAAATCACTGGCTTATTTAAGCTATAGAGAATTTTTTTTTAAATCAAGAGTTTGCTGAGGTATTAAATATGCGTTTGCTTTCTTTTAAAATTCATGTTATGCGATATCCGTTCAATATATTCATAAATATAAATATATACATTTATATCTTGCTTTAAGCGAACGTTTTTATCAATCATTGACACAATTTTTTGTAATATTTGTAATAAATTTTATAAAAGTTTTTTTAAAATATTGTAAGCATAGAAAATGGTCAAAATTGTTGGCATAAGTGAGGAAGATAAGTGGCAATATAAAGTCCACGCTCGATATTTTCCTTATATATATATAATAAAAAAAATTATTTCTTCGCATTTAGATAGATATCTTAACGTGTCAGACTTAATTTAGTTTTGGAAACAGCAGCAAAAATTCTTTTATACATTTTAGTTTACTAAATTCTTTGGACATCAACTATTATTAGTTTCAAATATTTCTTGTCTCATATTATGAGTCAGTCTCTTATACATTTATATAATTTATTGCATTTAATATTGTGAATTTAAATATTTGCAATCTGTAGTTAAATTCAATCAAATTCCAAGCAATTTGTCTAAGCAAAGGAACATATCACATTCATCGTGCAGCATACTGTTGCAGTCTTCAATAGTGTTCTGTTGCGATTTTCATTTTGATTTTATTATTTATGAATTCTTTATTTTCTTTTTATGGTTCCTCTTTTTATTTTTGCTCTGCATGCACTTTTAAATTTTTTAAGCTGCAGACGAGCCTCGTGGCCATTCGTTGTGCTTTGTTCGTTTGGCCAAGCGGCTGGCAAACATTTTCTGTATGGTTGCAGCAGCAGCAGCAGCTGAAGGACCTGCCCGCCTGCCACGCCTACTGCACAACGAGTGCGTTGGCTAGCGCAAAAAAGAAATAACTGTATATATGCAATATATAAAAAAAAGGAATGGAAAAAAATTTAAACTAAAAATGTTTTATGCATGAGAAAACCACAACAAAGCGCGTAAATGTCATTTCCTTTACACTAAAAGGATACTTTGAAATTGAAATTGTGGTATTATTCACACACACACACACTTGTATACACACACATACACACTCGCATACACTGACAGAGAGCAGCCAAAGAGCTGCCATGCAACGCCTTGCATAGCCTTTGCCGCCTTTTGTTTGCTGAGGTTGCCGCCTCTATGAGCACTGAGACCCTCTCTTATTTCTTTTCCATTTCTCCCTCTGTATGGGGCAGAATGTCTCAATAAAGGCAATTGGCGATAGAGATGGCGATGCCTGGTTGCACAAATGCAAGTTGCATACTTTGCGGCTAATTACGCTCAACAAATAGCGGGCGAACGGGCGAAACTAGTTGAACACAAAAGTACACAGAGAAAAATAATATCGCATTGTTATATTTTTAGATCAGGCACATTAAGGAAAAGGAGTGAAGTGAAAAGCCAACTCCAGTTGAGCATAATCAACAAGGCGCTGTGCCTTGGGTCAAGGTGAAGTTAGGTAAACTTAGCTCAAGTTAAGGAAAGTGAGGTCAAGTTGGGTTAGGTAAGGTTAAGCTAAGTTAAACTAACTACAAGTTAGGTTAGGTGATGTTAAATGACGTTAAGTTCGGTAAAGTAATTTTAAGCCAAGCTTCAATTTGATGCTAGATTAAGTTTAAAATAACCTAATGAACCTTATCAATTAGTTTTTGTTTGCTTAGTAGAAGCTGTATTAGTTTAAGCAATGATAAGTTGCCTCAATTTGGTATAAGCTAAAATTAGTTAAGACTAAGATCTGTTAAGGTTACGTTAGATTCTGGAAAGTCCTATTAAATATGCGCTGCAAGAAAGAGTTAGCCTTGATTTTTAGTTATGATGGATCCATTGTGAAATTATTCAATTCTCTTGCCAGATGTTAAGAGATGAATAAGAGCAACAGTTACTTAAAACCTTATTTCCAGATGAAATCTGCTTTTACACAAAAGCCCAAGCTTCTACCTAACTCTTCAAGAAACATTCAAATTTGTAATTCCACATCATCTTCCTACTATGCGCTTGCACAAAAAGGAAGTGACATATTTTCTCTCAGTGCAAATACCTCTTGACTTTTGCTTAAACTGAACATCTACGTTAGAAGAGAGCCAAGTCAAACTTTTCGACGGCTGCTCAATGGATGCGCCCTGAAGTATGCCAAGGAGTAAAAGTTGTAGAAAGAAAGACGTTGTCTGGCAACGAACGAAATTGGTATTGGACATCGTACGATGGGCAATGGGCATTTGGGCATTGGGGCATTGGACAACAGG